AAATGCCCTAGGACGAGTTCGTTCAAATATGAGGACAGGAATTTGTGCCTTCGTCGCCAGGTCGCCCGATCAATCCAATATGGCCGACTTCCTGTTGGTTGTCTAGCAACCACGTAATATACTTTTTTGTTCCTATTCCCATGATGCATCTGTGTACCAAATTTGGTTTGGCTACACCAAAGTTTTTGTTGGGCGTCCTATTGGCGAGGTCAGATGTTTAGCCTGTCGCCATGGCAACACGATGGGGAAATGGCATTGGGTCGTCCTACACGTTTTTGATTGAAACCATGTCATGAATCTGTGTACCAAATTCTATATGTCTACGACAAAGTAAATTTTGGCACTACCGTGCAATTTCCCTAGGGGGCGCTATTGCACCCACCTGAGATTTTCTTATATAAATTGGTTCAGAGTCGGGGTGTGAACCCGCGATTAAAATTTGAATGAAATTGGCCAAAGTTTGAGCCAGAATTTGTAGATTTTACCAATGGAGAGTTTATGTCATCGCTATGGCAACGCCATAAAAAATATGACATGGGTATCATTGACTTTTGGATCAGGATGCCAAAATGGAATTTGAAATCGGAGTTCGTTTGAGCAAATGGGAGCAATTTGTAAATCTCCAAAATTGTGTGCATTTTTTGTTGCTTCACTGCTCAGAGACTGTAAGACGTGTGTGAAAAATTTGGATAAGTTTTGATGTTCCACGTCTTGAGATAATGTGGACCAAATTTGAGCTCGTTCGGGCGACCGCCCTCAGAGGAGTTCATAAAACCTTAGCCAAATTTAAGCCAATATTACTGCCCCCTAGTGGAGTGCACAGTGTTGGCGTAATAATATTTTTTCCTTGTCTTGACATGATCGACTTCTGTGTCAAATGTCATGATTGTACATGCAAGGTTTTTTTTGTGTCATTCGTATTCCCTAATGCATTTTTGAGTCATTTGGGGGCAATGACGAGCCATTTTATATTTTTTTTTGGAAAATGAAAATAGCCAAAAGTTAGAGAAGCGCGAGTTTTACCAGATGGAAAAATTTCAGGACTTTTCGTCATTGTTCAGTGGGTGAAAAATGGGTGAGTTGGTTAGGAGAATAACCAACCGATACGAGAACAATGTTCCGCTTTTTTTTGGCCGACAAACTATACATTTTCGGAAAACCTCTGGCGCATTGCTACGTGATGGCGAGGGTCCCTGGTCACTACGGGCGAGTCACGTCACGCCATTCCATTTTTTGGCCACTTGGAGCATCGCTTTGCGATACTAATAGGCCCTTCGCCAGCCTCTGGCGCTCGGGCCTAATAATGATAAAACAAGTAAAAGTCTCAATTAAAAGCTAAATTAAAAAGATACGTTTTGAGTTTACTTTTAAAAATCTGAACACTCGCAGCGGACCTCAGATCCTCAGGTCGACTGTTCCACATACGGGGGCCGTAAAAGCTGAATGACGCCTCACCGTGAGTTTTAGTTTAGACTCTTGGGACAATTAAAAGAAGACTACCTGAGGACCTGAGAGTCCGAGAGGGCTCATATGATAAAAGCAGATCAGATAAATAAATAGGACTAAGACCATTAAGAGCTTTATAAACCAATAAAAGAACTTTAAAATCTATCCTTAAACTCACAGGAAGCCAGTGCAGAGACTTTGTATTAGTATTGGGGTGATGTGCTCTCTCTTCCTGGTCCTTGTCAGCAGTCGTGTTGCAGAGTTTTGGAGGAGCTGCAATGGAGCTGTAGATTTCTTTGGAAGACCAGAAAGGAGAGCATTACAGTAATCAACACGGTTTGTGATAAAAGCATGTATTAAAGTCTCTGCACTGGCTTGAGAGAGAAATGGTCTGACTCTGGCAATATTTTTTAGATGATAAAAAACAGATTTAGTGATGGACCTGATGTGTGGCTCAAAGCTAAGCTCACTATCAAGAATAACTCCTAAACTTTTTACCCTTTCGATAACAGTAACCATAAGCATGAGCTCCTTCAGCACAGGAAGCTTGGGAGGTTCCTTTTTTTAACAGGTCCATGTTCCTCACCAGCGGTAAGGAGCTATGAGGTTTCCCACAATCCACTGCAGATCAAACCCAATGTTTCCAAACACTATTGCACACTTTACACTGCAGCAGATTATTAATTAAAATGTTTTGCATAAATAAACTTTACATTACTGAACTTCAGAACATATAAACCAAAACTACTATAGAACCACATCAGCTCCATAGTAGTAGCAGTAATGTAACAGCAGTAATGTTTTTAATGCAGCTTTGTGTATATTTATTTACATTTTACAGAAACAAAACTTAAAACCACATGGGTAATTTGCATAAACTATAAGCACTGAAAAAAAACAGCTCGCTCCTTGTGCCCTAATGCAGTCAGGCTGTGTCGGACAAAAGGACACAACTCAGTGGAATATGAGTGTTCTCTCTGTGACACTGGATGTGCTGCTGATGGCGAGTCTGTAAATGGTGGAAAAGGTTCGTGGAGCTAGAAGCTTTTGGTTGGCACTAACTTTGAGCATTCACGGTGGTAGTGAGCAGTGAAAGAGACAACACGAGAGGGGAGCATGGGAGGGGAGGGGTGACAAAAACAAGGAGGTGGGGGCGAGTGAGCACAGCACAGAGAAAGAAAGTCAGATTTAAATATAAGCATTATATCGATACATATACACGATATGTCAGAGTACATTTCATGTTTTAATATATATTTAAAATATTGAGATATCACCCATCCCTAAAGCACACCTGCACAGACGGCCAATCAGAACACAGAATCACACCTGCGCAGACGGCCAATCAGAACACAGAATCACACCTGCACAGACGGCCAATCAGAACACAGAATCACACAGAATCACGTCTGCACAGACAGCCAATCAGAACACAGAATCACACCTGCACAGACGGCCAATCAGAACACAGAATCACACCTGCACAGACGGCCAATCAGAACACAGAATCACACCTGCACAGACGGCCAATCAGAACACAGAATCACACCTGCACAGACGGCCAATCAGAGAACAGAATCACACCTGCACAGACGGCCAATCAGAGAACAGAATCACACCTGCACAGACGGCCAATCAGAGAACAGAATCACACCTGCACAGATGGCCAATCAGAGAACAGAAGCACACCTGCACACACGGCCAATCAGAGAACAGAAGCACACCTGCACACACCTGCAGATAAATCCATGTCATGTGTTAGAACACCAGTAAACCTACTGCAGGTGCACTGTTCAAATGCACTGACTGCTTCAACAAGCAGGACTGTGCGAGTTTAGAAAAAAACTAAGTGTTGCAATTAGATTTGTCATGTTTGTATAACATTCCGTTCAGAGTGCAACAACTCCAAGAGCACATTTGACAAGACTGAATATAATATGAATATAAACTGCTAAACTATTACAAGAATCCCATGTATTTCAGAACAGGCTTGTAACTACAGGGTAAACCGTTTTATACAGGGGGGTGCACTGCAGAACACGTTCTGTTATCTGTTTGCAGACTCTGATCTGACAATTGCTACAACTTCAGTTTTGATTGGAGATACACTGTGCAGCTCTGCAGGCAGTACTCAAT